GCTGCATATGGGGGGGTACGGGGGCCGCAGCAGCAGCCTAGCTTTGTCTCCCCCCATACAAGGAATAGGTTTTATGTTTGGTTTATTAAAACAAGAAGAAGTAACAGCACTCGTATAAAACCCAATAGACCCTGAGCTGAAGGATCCATCAATTAAATTTATTTCTGCTGCTGCTGCTGCTGTTGCTGCTGCAGTTGTTGCTGCTGCGTTTGTCTCCATAGAACCACCACCAACACCCACACCAACACCAGCAGCAGCAGCAGCAGCAGCAGCACCAACTGCTGCTGCTGCTGCTGCTGCTGGTTCAGTAACCTCTGCAACCCGGATAGAAATAGAGTGAAGCTGCTTGGTGATGCTGATGCTATACTTTTGGCCCTCAATAAACCCTCCGTCTTCAATCCGCGCTGTTTCTGTTGCTGCTCCATTCACTATCCTCAGCAGCCTCTTAAAGCCCCCTGTTGCTTGCTGCATGCATATGCATATGCATGCATGCATGCATGCATGCATGCATAAAAGGAACACAATGAAGTTTTGGGTTTACTGATTTTGTTCTCGTTAGTTGGGTTTGAATGCATAAATATATAAATGTATAAATACACAAATAAATACATACGTATATATGTATGTATATAAGCATATAAATATAGATATATAAATATATATAAAAATTCATATAAAAGTAAACATAAACATAAACAAAACATAAACACAAACATAAACATAAACAAAACAAAAACAAAACCATAACCACAAAAAAAGACAAACAAAAGTAAACATAAAAAGCGTATATCTTGCCTGTTTCATTTGAAAGAGAAACATATTGTTGGGGTCTTTAACGCAGAAAGCAACACCGATAGAGCCCGAGCCGAGAGCAGTGGTTTCGGTAGTAAAGAAGAAATCAAAGAACTGCTTAAACTGCAGCAGAGCGTAGCTGCCGCTTATTGAGCTAGCTGCAACAGAAGGAGATACAGATGCACTCTGACACAGACTGAGACCAGACCCTATTGATGATAAAGAGGAAGGGGAGATGCTCCACTTGCTCTTGCCTGTATATTGTAGTTTATTTAGGTGGATGGGGTTGTATGCTTTTATTTAGTTGTTTATTTGTTGTATGGAGGCAAGAAAATAAAAGAAAAGAAAAGAAAAGAAAAGAAAAGAACAGAGGAGAGAAGAGAAGAGGAGAGAAGAGAAGAGGAGAGAAGGAAAAGAAGGAGGGAAGAAAGAGAAGGAAAAGAAGAAAAAGAAGAAAACTAAAAAAAATAAAAAAAAGAAGAAAAAGAAGAAAGAGAAAAAAAAAGAAAAAAGAAAAAAGAAAAGAAAAAGAAGAAGGAGAAGAAAGAGAAGAAAAGAAGAAGAAGCAAAAGCAAAAAAAAAAGAAAAAGAAAAAAGAAGAAAAAGGTAAACTGACCAGTGGTCAGCTTGGAGTCTACGAGAGTGAAGTGTGCGGTGATGTCTTCGTTTTTAATTTCGTTTAGTGACCACTGGTCAGTTGCCGATTGAAAAGCTCTTTCTTGTAGTGTCTGTGCATGCATGCATGCATACACCGCAGCATAGTATAAAATAAATATTTATTTATTTTTATTTATTTTTATTTTTTTTATTTTTTTTTTTTTTTACTTTTTCTATTTCTTTTGTATTCATATCAAGAGCCTGAGATACTTTGCCTGATGCCTCTTTCAATCGATCCGCCAATTTCTCCGTTTCTTTTTTTGTTTCTTTTGTTGCTATCTATAAAAAAAATAAAATAAATATTATTTATATAAGTTTATATCAGGTGTACATACACCTCAACTTGCATGCAAAAAAAAACACTCACCTCTAATGCTTTTTCTATGCTTTCTGTTGGCTTCAGAATTGCTCTGGCGGTGGATATAGCCTGTAATATATATTTATATAAAAATAATTAATATTTTATTTTATTTTATTTTATTTTATTTTATTTTATTTTATTTTATTTTATTTTATTTTATTTTATTTTTTTACTTTTGTTGCTGCAAGACGAATATGTTCTGCTGCATCCTCGTCAAGCCCACCCAGACGGTGCGATAGGATCAGAGACAAATCATTGATGGCGGTTGTTGTAGCTTCATTTATTTCTTCGTTAGCAAACAAAACACCAGCAGGAGAGGGGTCTCCCCCTCTTGGTCCTGCTGCTGCTGCTGCTGCTGCTGCTGCTGGTGGTGGTGCTCCTGCTGCAGCTGGTGCTGGCTGTGTTAGAGTTGCTGTTGGTGCTGCTGCTGTTGCTGCTGCTGCTGCTGTTGCTGCTGCAAACTGTGCTGTTTCTGCTGCAGCATTTATTTTTTCATTTTCTTGAGGAGATGTTTCCGTGGCCTTCAGAGTTGATGTCGCTTCATCAGAAGAATACAACTCTATAAAACTCTTGCTGCTGCTGCTGCTGCTGCTGTTGCTGCTGCCGCTGTTGCTGCTGTTGCTGCTGCTAATATTGCTGCTGCTAACGTTGCTGCTGCTGCTGCTGCTGCTAATGTTGCTGCTGCTGCCGCTGCTGCTGCTGCTGTTGCTGCTTTCCACTGTCTCCCTGTTGCAGTTATTGTTAGCAGGTTTGAGTATGAAAGCTTTTTCTTTTTTATTGTTTATGAGTCTGCTGTCTGAGCGAATGCCGTTTCTATTGATTCCTTCAAACTCTGCTGGTGCTGCAACAATCTGTACTTTTGCTTCGCCTCCTCTCGTCAGCAGCCCCGCATGCATCGCCGCCAGACATATTGAACTGTCGCCCGTGTACACCCCGTTCTCCCCTCCTATCAGTGTGGCTTCGTTGGCTGATGAATATATAAATAAATAAATAAATAAATAAATAAATAAGTAAATAAGTAAATAAATAAATAAGTAAATAAATAAATAAATAAATAAATAAATGTGTAAATAAATAAATAAATATACAAATAACCACTCAACCGAAAGAAGAAAAAAAAGCGAGAAACTTTATTTATTAAAAAAATAATTACCATAGTGCATGCATGCATCAGAGCAGCGGATGAAGAAGGTGGTCCCGGGGGGCCCCTCAAAAGCCCCATTTCCTTCAATTGAAGTCAAACAAGTTATCTCAACTGCTCGCTGCGGCGGGTTGTACGCGTCTTCGTTTGTAGAACCTGCGGTAGATACAGGGAAAGGGGGCTGGGTTTATTACACTTTTTCAGCTTGTATTCATGCATGCATGCATGCATGCATGCATGCAGGGAGTTTGTTGTATGTGGAATTCTGTTGAAATGCATGCAATATGTGCATATACAATATATATACACACACACATATATATAGATATAGATATACATATACACATATGTATATACACATATTTGTATGCATGCATACATACATGCATCTATACATTATCTGCCTACATTCACTCACTGCATGCATTCACTCTCTGCATGCATTCACTCTGCATGCATTCACTCTCTGCATGCATTCTCTGCATGCATTCTCTGCATGCATGCATGCATGCATGCATGTATAAAAGAGAGAAGAGACTAACAGATGATAGCGGCCATGTCAGTGGTTGAGGAGTCAAAGAAGAGCAAACCGGAGGCGTTGATGCCGACCGTATTAGATATTGGGCTGTTGTTGTTTTGAGCCTCAACGATAAACTCTGTAACCTAAATATATATAAATT